ATGTGAATGTTGCGAAAGGCAATAATTTCGATGATTCGAGCTTTTCTCTGATTACTCCGTAGGTGAACCACTTGGATGCATCAGATTGTATACTTGATTCCAGTGCTACCTATCATGTGACCCCTAGACGAGATTGGTTTGTATCTTTTAAGAAGCTCGATAGGAGAGTTGTAGTCATGAGAAATGATCAATCATGTGGTATTTATGGGATAGGTACCGTGAGAATTCAGATGCACGATGGAGTAGTCCATGAATTAAAAGAGGTGAGATTTGTTCCTCAGCTGAAGAAGAATCTTATCTCAGTTGGAGCTTTGGAGGCAAAAGGAAGGTGACCTTTAAAGACGCTGTAGCAAAGGTTACTAAGAGATCTTTGGTGGTGATGAAGGAGGTCCGCGGTCAAAACCTGTATTATCTGAAGGGGAGCATCGAGATTGGCCAGGTTGCTTCAGCTATTTCAGAGGCGGACATGAGCAGACTTTGGCATTACAGGTTAGGGCACACAGGCGAGAAGTCACTGCAGGTGCTGTGCAAGCATGGGCTATTGAAGGGAGCCAAGAGTGATAAAGTGGAGTTCTGTGAGCACTGTATATTTGGAAAGAAGATGAATGTGAAGTTCGGAACTGCTATTCATAGGACGAGGGACATCCTAGACTACGTGCACACAGACGTTTGGGGTTCCACCAAGACTGCATAACTTGGTGGTCGACATTGGTTCGTCACGTTCGTTGATGACTATTCGAGGCGATGTTGGGTATACACCATGACGAAGAATAGTAAAGTCCTAGATTTTTTTTGTGGAGTGGAAGAAGAGATTGGAACTGCATACTGGGAGAAAGATCAAGACGTTGCGATCTGACAACGGTAGTGAGTACACATCAGACCCCTTTCAGTAACTATGCCAAGAGGAGGGTATTGAGGGCATTCCATTGAGGTTCAAAGCTAGGTTGGTTACGAAGAGCTATGTACAGGAGGAAGGTATTGACTATAATGAGGTTTTCTCTCCGGTGGTGAAGAACTCTTCGATTCAGATTTTGCTAGCTTTGGTGGCACAGTATGATTTGAAGTTAGATCAGTTGGATGTGAAGACGGCATTTCTTCATGGTGATCTTGATGAAAAAATATATATGACTCAGCCATTGGGATTCCGAGCTGCAGGGAAAGAAAAATTGATTTGCAGATTGAAGAAATCGCTATACGGTTTGAAGCAGTCTCCTCGACGGTGGTATAGGCGATTCGATGGTTTTATGATTGGTCATTCGTACACTCGGAGCCAGTTTGATCATTGCGTATATTTTCCCAAGTTGAAAGGAGATGTGTACATCTATTTGTTACTTTATGTCGATGACATGTTGGTTGCCTCTATTTTCAGATCGACTATAGATGAGTTGAAGGCATAGCTTTCAAAGGAGTTTGAGATAAAGGATTTGGGTGAGGCGAAGCGCATTTTAGGGATGGAGATCGACAGAGATAAGAAGAAGGGCAGAATTTGTTTAACACATGTGGCTTATTTGAAGAAGGTTCTACAGCGATTTCATGTTAGCATGGATACGAAACCAGTTAGTGTACATTTGGGAGCCCATTTGAAGCTTTCAGCTGATCTTTCACCGAAGACAGTTGAAAATTAAGAGTTGATGTCGAAGACTCCATATGCGAGCGTGGTTGGGAGCTTGATGTATGCGATGGTATGTACGAGGCCGGATTTATCACAGGAAGTAAGCATGGTTTTGAGATACATGCACGATCCAAGAGTGGGTCATTGGGACGCCGTGAGATGAATTTTGAGGTACATTCGATGTACGCTCAATGTTGGTTTGGTTTATGAGTGGGACACTACAAGTGGGAAGTTATGTATTGGCTACGTTGATTCGGATTATGTCGGGGATTTGGATAAGTGCCGGTCTACGACGGGGTATGTGTTCACTTTGAACCGTGCGCCGGTGTGTTGGAGATGCACCTTACAGTCTACGATGACTTTATATACGACGGAGGCAGAGTATATGACGGTTACGGAGGCTGTGAAGGAGGCTATTTGGCTTCGAGGACTTTTAGAGGAACTTGGTATATCGCAGCGGTCCGTTATTATTTATTGTGATAGCACGAGTGCTATCTATTTGGCCAAGAATCAGGTTTTTCATGCGATGACGAAACACATTGACGTTCGTTATCACTTCATTCGTAATGTTCTTGAAGATGGAGATGTTGAGATAGTGAAGGTCCACACGAAGAATAATCTGACGGATATGCTCACTAAGGTGGTTCCGAGCAATAAGTTTGATCATTATCGAAACTTATTGCATATTCGTGATTGTTGAGGTCGTTAACGACTATTTGGGTGAACTACGTGAGGCTTGATTCCTTGGGCAAGATGATATGTAGGCAGTCTTTACGATGCAGCGTATGTTTGGATTAGTTGATTTTGATGGGGGTGAGATTGTTTGGACTCTCGTTCGGGTTCCCGACTTGTTGTGGATTGAGTCCGTTGTCGTGGATTTATTCCACTTCGTACTGGACGCAACAAGTGGGACATTTGGATGTTTTTTGGTGTCGGCTCAGTTTTGGAAAAATTTCGCCGAGGTGGAGAATTGTGAACGTGTTTTGGCTTCGTGGGGGCCACTGATCCCTTTCCGCATGAGACAACCACCCACATCAATTTGCAGCGTTTTGTTTTTCTATAAATACCAACGCATCCACACTTCCTAGTTTTTGGGTGCAAGTGCAAAACAATGGGAGAAAAGCGGCGTGCAAGAGCTTCGTACAGAGGGGGAAACAGTGATTTTTGGCTGTACTTGGTGAAGAACAACAGCGGCCTTTTGAGAGGGTTTTTGGCATTCTCTTTGTGAGAGGTTTGAGAGTTTGTGTGAGAGTTTAATTTGTGTGATTGTAAACCTTATTTGTATTCTCTCTCTAATAGTAGATCTCCTCCCTCCTTGCCCCGTGGACGTAGGCAATTTGTCGAACCACGTAAAATTGGTTGTCTCGCTATTTGTGTGATTTGTTATAGCTTACTTAGATTCCCTCGACAGGTCAGTCCTAGAACTGATGAGAGAAAGAGCTGATATCCCACTTTGTTGAGATATTTTGCTTTTGGTTCTTGTTTCCTTGGTAAAACGAGAATTCTTGTTGCGATCTAACTCTCTTGTTGTGCTGCCGAGATGCTGCCGAAATTCCCGCTGCGCACAACACTCCCTCTCTTCACACCTCCAGCTCCCAATGAGCCTGATGCAAACCCAAAACCAGGCACACGGACAACTCTAAAGTCTACAACATCACACCCTTCACAACTCCAGCTCCCAGTGAGACTAATGTTACTTTGTGATGAAAGTAAGTTCTTTTAAGCTTGTATATTGGAAACATGAAATGCATTAATAACAATAATACTAATAACGATGATGATGATGATGATGATGATGATGATGGACAACCAATTTCTAAGTATGATACTTTTTTTTATCATTTATTAATTAGTTGGCAAAATGTTAATAACATGTAAGGTCATTTGTGTAAATTTACATATATTTTCTTTCATTCCCTTCCCTCCATTAGTACTCTTTATTCGTAACTTCCTCAACTCCCAAACAACATATTTCAATTCCCCTTCCTTTCTTTACCTTTCATTTTCCTAGTTTATCTTTCCTTGCCATTCCTTAGTGAACTCCGGACATAGCATTATTCTTTTCAAGTAGGGATTCTTAATTTTTGATAGTCCAATGTCAGAGATTTATTTGTTCAACAACTAACAATTCCATTTTTAAACCGGTTTACTGAAAAAATATCAAACTTGCTTAAATCATGTCCTGGTTTGGCTAAAAAAAACCAAACCATGACTTAAACTAATTTTGGCAGGTAAATTTACAGCATTAAACTAGCTTTCTCCTCCTGTTACTGATCCAGAACTAAACCAATTCAAACTAAAACTAGTTTAAGAGGGAATTAAGCAAATTTCTCAACCCTTTCGTCATCATTTATTATCACTAATATTTGCTAGTTTGAGAGAGTAGCAATTCTATCAGAAACCCACACGATGCGGAGTTCTTTGTGCATGCCAGACAGGGGGCCAGTGGAAAAGGCCAAACTACCCTACCAATGCACGAGCGAGACAATGGCTTACAACGCCCCGCATTTTGATATGATTCCTACTCAGTTTGAGAGGCATAAATTGCACATGATGAACCCGGCCCACCCCCCCAGGGACCATCTTCAATCCCCTTTTGAGGGCAGAAGCGGAGCGTTACCAATTGCTAGTTGGATGTGGGATTTGGAGTCACGCAGGCCTTTATGAGTAGAAAGAAGGCAGAATTTGTTGCTTTGTAACTCTTCAGATGGATAGACTTATGGAGTCACGCAGACCCTCTCTTTTTTTTTAGCGTGTACTGGTCCAGAAAGCTCTCATGCCTTGGAGCGTCGCATGTTCACCGTTACCGATCCAATGAACACTTTCTCTCCCTGTTTTCAACTTTGTATGGTTTTCATCACCCATGATCATCGATCTTTCATTACTTTTATGCGTTTGCGTTTTCCGCTCATCATTGCTATAGTTCTAGTTGATGGTTATGATTTTTTCTTTTAGTGCAAATTAAGAATTAGTACAATACACGGGGATATGGTAAGTGTTAGATTTAGATTGTATCATAACCGCCTACTAAATAATCAACGCTTGAGATTAAAAGTAGTGGTCGCTCCACTACTTTTTTGTAGTGGAGAGGATCCAAATCCATTGCTATAAGCTTTCTTGGATTCCAGCGTACGTACACTCAAATAATCCATCCACTGCCGCTGCGTGGTGTAGGGGTGAGCATGGTTCGGTCTAAACCGAAAAAACCGACCGAACCGAACCGAAATTAGCAGTTCGGTTCGGTTTTAATTGTAGGACGGTTCGGGTCGGGTTGAAAATTTTTCAACCCGAACCGCCCGAACCGACCGAATACACAACACCCATTCGCATTAACCCTCAACCCGATCCGTGACCCGTCCCTCAAAGCCTCAGGCCCTCAATTCAAACCCTAAAATCTCATTCCCATTTCCCAGCCGCCAGCCACTCTGAATCTCTCACTCTCTGTCTCTGTCTCTCTCACTTCCTCTTCCTCAATCCTCTCTTTCCAACTCCAGCACTTGTCTTCAGAATAAAGCTTAGCACCCTCTCATGGCGGCAGTGGACTCCACTCGGGCCTTCGTCAAGGGCGTCAAGCGTATCGTCATCAAAGTTGGTGTCGTTCTCCCCTCTCTCTCTACAATTTCAGCTCCATCTTCTACGCTTATGATCTGCTAAAACCCCGCTTTGCTGACTGATTTTAGTGGAAGTTAACTTGGCCGATTCAAAAATTGATGCTTAAGTAGTGAATCTCACGCTGTTTGCTTTGGTCTGTAGCTACTCATACTATTTGAGACCCAAATTCATTATGAAATCAGTCTTTTGATTGAAGTTAACTTCCTCGATTGGGATTGGAGTCAAGATTGGATCTTTGTAACCAGTGAAATCATGCCATTAACTATAGTTGCAGAAATGCATTGAATCTAGATGTTTCCGTTTGTTTATTTTTGCAGGTAGGGACTGCTGTTGTGACTAGAATTAATGGAAGGTTGGCGCTTGGGAGGTTAGGATCTCTCTGCGAGTAGGTAAGGTTGAGCTTTCAGTAGCAGCAGTTCATTCTTGAGTGCTAAGTTGTTTGCAAGTTCTTCTCAGTAGTTTGGAAGTTTGTGTTGTAAAGATCGGATGATTAATTTGCAGGTCAAAGAACTGAATTCTCGAGGATTAGATGTGATTTTGGTAACATCTGGTGCGGTGGGTGTTGGTCGACAGAGGCTCAGATAACCATCTTCACTCGTCATTTCAATAACTGGTAATTGACATATGTTATATTTACGCATATTAGTGTGCTAAAAATTTTCAGTTTCAATAACCTGCTCATGATACTACAAAGCTTAATCAACAACAACATTTTTACTACATATGTTATACTTATAACTGAACCGACAAACCGAACCGAACCGCACCGAACCGACATAGAGCAGTTCGGTTCGGTTCTGAATAACAGGCGGTTCGGTTTCGGTTGTTCAAATTTTGGTAAAAACCGACCCGAACCGAACCGTGCTCACCCCTAGCGTGGTGTACTACGCCTTTGACTGGGGCTTGAGGTTGACTCGCGGTCTCGGTGGGTTCTTTTATGGACTCTTTATGCTCTTGTTCGTTGGTTTCACCCTTATCTCGTGAGCTCTGGTTCATCTAGAGGTATTTCACGGGCTGTTTGTGACTCGAGTTGAGTCCATTCACACGCCGGTAAATTTGCACCCTAATTATGTAGGTAGATGTGTCCCGGGCCGGGCCGGGCCGGTATTTTTTTATAATTTTATTTAAATTTTAAATTATACAAAAAAAACAAAAAAATAAATAAAAAACAATAATTTTATTAATCACTTAAAATAACATAAATTACAAATAAAAAATTATAAAAATAAATTCTTTATTAATAATTAATAAATTATTTACAAATTACAAATATAAATTTGTTTTGGAATTCATTGCATCACAATAGATAAGTACATCCCAACTAGGTTTTTTTAAATTTTATTTTTTTTATTAAAAAATACTAAAAATTAGTTTGACATTATTATATTTTATATAATTATGTATTAGTATATACTTACAAATTATTACGTAACTATATATTATATATACATATATTATATGTAAATATATTGTATATATTTATAAGTTATAACTTGAGAGAGAGAGAATCGCATAAGTAGCTGTTGCCCGTTGAGCCAATGGGAAAGAAGTAACCGTTGTAATATACTATACTTACATACTAAGAAAGAGAGTATACACACACACACACATATTATACATATATAAGAGAGAGTATACTTATATAAGAGGGAGTATACATATATAAGAGAGAGTATACTAATATAAAGAGGGAGTATACATATATAAGAGTGAGTATACTTATATATACATATATACTAAGAGAGAGAGAATATATATATATACACACATATATTATACATATATAAGAGAGTGTATACTTATATATACTTATATAAGAGAGAGTATACTTCTATATACATATATACTTGTTTGCGTCAAAAGTTGGTTTTGTCATGGAATTCATTATATCTTCAGTCGATTACAATAAATTCAAAAAGAGATAGCCTTTTTATAAGACTTCTTTTACACAACAAAATGAAAATTACAACTCTTGGGAAACAAACGCAAGATCGTTGTTTGGATCGCTGCTTGCGTGAGATCTTTGCCTGTGCCAGGAACGCTTTGGTTCGTGGACCACCAAATCACAGATTCTGATTGAATCGTGAGGGGTTTATGATTCTGACTTCGTTTATTGAAGTGAGAACTTGAAACGATATCTTATCGAAGTAAGATAGTCGTTCTTCTTGAAATCAAGTCAAAGCTCGAATATCAAGGAGTGGCCGAAGCTCAAGAACTCTGCTCTCTCTCTGCTCTGGATTGCTCTGAAGTGCTCAAAATGATCAGCCCCTCTCATTTGCTGTCTCGGCGGGCGAGACAGTGTTTGCTGTCTCGGCCCGCGAGACAGTAAACGCTGTCTCAGAAACAGTAACTGTCAGGCAGTTTTTGTTTTAACTGCCTTCCCACGTTTCAAACTCCGTTATTTTGGTAGTTATCAACGTGATTCTCGCCCACGACGTTTCCCACGTCCTTTGGCAGTTAATGGGCACGTGTAGGGCAGTTACAAAGGCGGTTTTGACCATTTCAACACTGTCTCGCTGGCGAGACAGCAAAGCCTGTCTCGCTGGCGAGACAGCAAAGCCTGTCTCGCTGGCGAGACAGCAAAGCCTGTCTCGCTGGCGAGACAGTTCATTCCTGCCTTGATTTTCAATATGAGATCCTTTTGAGTGATCTTTTTCTATGTTCGGATATCTATTAGCATTTTTTGACGCCTACAGATACCCCCTCCAAAGTATTCCAGACTCATTCCTTTATAGAGGAGTCTGGGATACTTTGGATAAGACAGATCTTATCTGCAATCCCTTCAATGCTTGATTGAGCTTGATTGAGTAGATCGTGGAGATGAGTCCATAAAATAGCTTCGGCTCTTGACCTCTTCATCCATTAGTCTATTCAGTTCTTTGTAGAATAGCTAATACTTCTCCGGCACTGCGTTTATCGCTCGACCGTTATTGAGATCTTGAGTTGAAGTTGGTATTTCCAGATTGATGCTCATTTGTCTCTCGAAAGTTCGTCAGGTTATCCTTAAGAATATTCAGATTGATATTCTCCAGAAACTTCCTGTTGATGGTAGGGAAACAGTTTAGATTCGTGTACCTATTGGAGTATTAAGGAGCAGTTTATACTCGTATACTTTTCGGAGTGAGATGGAGAAACAGTTTATACCCTTATACTTTTTGGAGTTAGGGAAAACAGTTTATACTCGTGTACCCGATTGAGTAGTCAGGTCTCTTTTTTGTTGGTAGAGATGAACCCGATGATGGAGAGGAAGAATTTTATATTCTATCTCCTGGTCTCTTGTTTGTTGGTAGAGATGAACCCGGAATTGGAGAGGGAGAATTTTATATTCTATCTCCTGGTAAAGAAACTCAAAGTGGGATCTCCGCTTAGAGAATCTGAATTGGTTTGAATAATCCTAACTGTCATAAGGTTTGATTATTCAATTCAAAAGTGGACCTTTCGTTCGCAAAATGAATCGAAAGGAGATTTTGGTTGTGGTCCTAACTGTAGTAAGGTTTGACCAAGTGGGGGTTTTAAGACGATCCTAACTGTTTAAAGGTTTGATCGTTCAATTTGTGGACCTCTCTTTCATTGAAGGAATCGAGAGGGGATTTTGGCTTTGGACTTAACCGTTTAAAGGTTTGACCATGATGGGAATTTGAGACGATCCTAACTGTTCAAAGGTTTGATCGTTCAATTTGTGGACCTCTCGTTCATGGAACGAATCGAGAGGGGATTTTGGTCTTGGTCCTAACTGTTTAAAGGTTTGACCAAGATGGGAATTTGAGACGATCCTAACTGTTTAAAGGTTTGATCGTTCAATTTGTGGACCTCTCGTTCATGGAACGAATCGAGAGGGGATTTTGGCCTTGGTCCTAACTGTTTAAAGGTTTGACCAAGATGGGAATTTGAGACGATCCTAACTGTTTAAAGGTTTGATCGTTCAATTTGTGAGGGAAGATTGATTCAACGAAGTGATCGAACCTCATCTCAGCAAAAGAGTATTCGAAAATCACCGTGGGGATGTAGTGTTTATCATTTTGTTTGTAATGATCGGGTTATCCCTAAGAAAATTACATATAGCATTCTTTCGGGAACTTCCCGTTACATGAATTATCCACCCCCAGCTTTCTTTGTAAAACTGGGTGTAACGAGGAGTACGTTATCCTCAGTCGTATGTTCGGGTTATCCTTAAGAATATAAGATTCTCCAGGAACTTCCTGTTACATAAATCATCCACCCCCAGCTTCCTTTGCGAAACCGGGTTTAACATTGAACTTAGTTGGATGACCGAGAAGCAGTTTATACTCATATACTCTTTGGAGTAAGATGGAGAATCAGTTTATACTCGTATACTCATCGGAGTCAGGGAATACAGTTTATACTCGTGTACCCAATGGAGTAATATGGTCGTCTTTACTCGACTTCTTTCGCCGTTATGACGTCGGAGTCAATTAAGGCATGGATTCTGTTTTTGAGTCCGAAGCAAATTTCGGTGGGATGAAGAACCCTTCTGTGGTATGCACAGTAGTTTGGATCTGTAATCATCTTAGCACCCTTCTGATCTTTAATAGGCGGTAGCTCGATTTTATCATTGGCGAGAAGATATTCCAATATGGCTGGAGCTTCATCATCTTCGAAAGAATACTCCTTTTGGAACCTCGGATCGAGAGTTGCGTTCACAGGAATTGTTGATGTCGTCGGTTGACCTCTCTCAACTTTCTTTCTTTTAAGAAAGTGTTCAGCTTGTTCGCCACGTAATTTTAACTCTTTCTAAGTTTTGGATGGTACGACCCCCAGGGCTTCCAGGACATCGATGGAGAGGTTATTGTGGCATGTTTGCAGGATGAACTCCTCTGTAATAGGATCTCTGCAACTCATTGCTTTGCCACGGAAGCGCTTGACAAAATCGTCGACTGACTCTCCGTCTTTTTGCTTCTCATCAAAAAGGGTTCCGACTGACACTTCGGTATCATCATCGAAGAAGTTGCTGAGGAACAAACTTTCCATATCATCCCAGCAATTGATGCTCCCTGGCTTGAGCCGTTGGTACCAATCAAAAGCGGGCCCACGAAGGGTGCCAACGAATGACCGGACCATTAAAGCCTCGTTTCCAGAGATCATGCCCAAATGAGACTTGAAATAAATCAAGTGCTGAATCGGCGAACTCTTCCCCTCAAACGGTGTGAAGTTAATCAGATTGAACTTTGTCGGATATGGTATTGAATCCCATTCCCTTGGATAGGGACATGGAATACCCGTCTTCTTAACTTCTTGAGCCGTCATCAAAGCATTGATTTTGTCTTCAAGCTTTTGCATTTTCTCGTTATCGTCTCTTTCTTCATTCGAAGGGCGTTGAGGAGAATGAGTTAGGCCACCCCTTTTGAGAGGTGCTATTGAACCACCCCCAATATCGTTATTGGGAGGATCCGTTAAACCACCCCCAGCGTTATTGCCATTAGGAGGTGTATCAGCCAAGATGACTTCATCCACCTCTGGATCACTGTCATCTACAACATTCCGAGTGTGGTGGCTGGATTCAAATCGCTGATTGGACTCAGGAGGTTGAGGCTGTTGAGTTAACAGTTCTCTCATTTGTTGGATAGCCAACTTCATTTCTGTCTTCACTTCAGCTCTAATTTCTTCACGTTGTTTGGCTAGAGCTTCCTGAAGTATTTGAGTGAACTGATCAGCAGTGATTGTGAATACTTCTCTGATTTGTCCTGTGCTAGACATTGTATCATCAGAAGCGATTGCAGAATAATGATTTTCTCTTGCGGAAATGTCTCGGCTTAGGCTTTGACAATACAGAGACTCTTCGTGAGATGGCTTCTCGTTTAAAACAGTTACATTCTGATAATGCTGCTTTAACGAGTCGCGCACAGGAACAATAAGAGTTTATTTCTCGAATAACTCTCTTTCGAAAATTATTCACAACCCCAACTTGATAATACGATTCATCGGTATGATTGCCAAAAAATCGTATTGTCTGTTGGCATGACCTCCCAGGTATGACGATATCATTTGGTGAATGCGTCTTCTTCTGTGGGTGTAAAGCCTTGTTGGCATTCTCAGGATAAATTATTGTTGCCTTTGAGCGATCCAAGGTTATGTCAGGAGTCGCACGTTTAAAACCACCCCCCTTGCGGGTATGGAGTCTTAACGGGCTCCGAATGCTGAATTTGCATAAGTCCAGACTTTGGAATCCAAACTTGGCGGAGTTTCGGTGGTTCTTTGGTCACCGTTTCCTTCTCCCTTTCTCGTCTTTGTTGTGAGAGAGCACGGGCAAGAGCAGCGTTTGCACGATGTTTTTGTATGCGTTCTTTGAGGGTCGAACGAGTCTTTTTGACAATAGTCCATTCCTCCGTCGTGAGTTTGGCAGAGATACGAGTGATTGGTTGTTGAGACAACTGAACCACTCGATGTCTCCTCGACTCTAAGTCCGCATGATAACGAACCCCGTCGGTTTGTTCCAATGCCTTAGCCAATTGACGAGCGTGACGTTGGCGTCGTCTCTGACGAGTTCTTTTCGTCAGTGCCGGCGGGCTTTGATTTAATGACTCCTTAATTGAAGAAGAGTCATTATGAGCAGAGAGGTTGCGAGTGGAATCCTCAGCAACAATCAAGCGAGAGTCTTCATCTGTAGCGTTCGACGGAGTCGAAAACTTGCAAACCTTCTTAGAAGATAAAATCTTCCTGCATTTGTGAGGCGAGGAAGACTTTGAGGATGAGGATGACAAATACTCCTCAAACTTCGCTTGGTCGAATTCGTACTCGACCGTTGATTCAACCGGGATCTTGATGATTGGTTGCGACACGACGGTCTCGGCAGCGAGACCGTTGGCTCCCACTGTGGTCGCCAGCTTGTTTGCGTCAAAAGTTGGTTTTGTCATGGAATTCATTATATCTTCAGTCGATTACAATAAATTCAAAAAGAGATAGCCTTTTTATAAGACTTCTTTTACACAACAAAATGAAAATTACAACTCTTGGGAAACAAACGCAGGATCGTTGTTTGGATCACTGCTTGCGTGGGATCTTTGCCTGTGCCGGGGGTGCGTTAGCCCGTGGACCACCAAATCACAGATTCTGATCGAATCGTGAGGGGTTTATGATTCTGACTTCGTTTATCGAAGTGAGAACTTGAAACGATATCTTATCAAGGTAAGATAGTCGTTCTTCTTGAAATCAAGTCAAAGCCTGAATATCAAGGAGTTGCCAGAAACTCAAGAACTCTGCTCTTTCTCTGCTCTGAAGTGCTCAAAATGATCAGCCCCCTTCAAAGAAAGTATACTTATATATACTTATACATATATATACTTACATAAGAGAGAGTATACTTATATATACTTATATGCTAAGAGAGAGTATATATATACATACACATATGACATATTATACATATATAGAAATATATTATATAAGAGAGAGTATACATATATAAGAGAGAGTATATATATACATACATGCATACATTATACATATATAAGAGAGAGTATTCTTATATATACTTATATAAGAGAAAGTATACTTATATATACTTATACATATATATACTTATATAAGAGAGAGTATACTTATATATACTTATATACTAAGAGAGAGTATATATATACGACATATTATACATATATAAAAATATATTATATATACATATATTATATATATATACATATATTATACATATATAAAAATATATTATATATACATATATTATACATATATAATACATATAAAAAAATAAAAAAATTCACTATTCCGGGCCGGGCCGGGCCCGGGCCGGGCACCAAAGAGCCGGCCCGGGCCCGGGCCGGGCACCAAAGAGCCGGCCCGGAGCCCAGACTTGGCCCGGGTTTCCGAGCCCGGGCCGGTGGGCTTTTTGGACACATCTATATGTAGCTACATACCGTACGTTATTTAGTTGCACACCCTCTAGCTTTTAGCCATATACCCTAACTAGTGTGCACCCGTGCAAAGCATGACTTTTTTTTTATTTCCGCTACAGTTTTTCTTTTTAAAATGCTACAGTGATCTTTTTTGAAAATGTTGCGGTATCTCGTCTGTTCTACAGTGATATAGCTACAGTAATAATGCTACAGTTATTTGTTGTAGCGTGAATAGTGAATCTTTGGGCCCTCCTATGGGTATAGAAGAGTAGATGTAGATGGCTGCACATTTTGTATTATATACTTCCGGTTTAAAGGTAAATAAACATTGTATATTGGGTTTAGTGCAACAGAGAGAGCTAGATGGGCTTTTTGGTAAATTGGAGAAACTTTGGGTTTATAGGCAATAACCACAAATTATAAATAATGTACAAACACGGAAAAAAGACGATCGGTGAAAGGTTAATACAGGTAAAAGCCCTATATCATGTTGAGTGAGCCAATTAGTATTCAAAAAATAAAATAAAATAAAATAAAATATTAAAACTTAGAACCCTTATACTCAAAACGGAATTATCCCTCAATTGTCACAGTGGTCTAGTACATAGAAAGCATTTTTTTCTAGTTAATCTAAGAGAAAGAGTTATCATCGCCCAACAGAGAAAAAAACAACAACATGACTTCAATTAAGGAGAAGCAAATATACCTTAGCCCTAACCCATCCCACCCCCCTTGCACCCCTCCAATCCTAGCTCAACATACAGATGTAACATTGATGTATTATTTGTAGAAAATTGTCTGAAGAACAAGGATTCATGTCATGTGGATCCGACTATGTTTTACGTTGGATGCTGGCTCCTTGACGCTACTTTCCTTCTTTATCCCGACTTAGGACAGGCAGTACCCGCAGCAAAATAAAACACAACATTGGCAAAGTTATAAGACTAACAATGTTTTATGAATCAGAATGTTGGGCAATTAAACAGCAACATAGGCAAAAAATGAGTATAGCAAAATGAGAATGTTACAATGGTCTTGAGGGTATACTCTAAAAGATATATTCAAAAAAAAAGTGCATCAGTAGTCAATTAGAAGTTGCTCTTAGTAAGGATAAAATAAGAGATAATCGACTAAGGTGATTTGGGCACGTACAACGTAGACCTCTGCATGCACCGGTTAAGAAAAGATAATATTATAGCTAATAGGGCAAAGAGATATAAAGATTGATTAAAAGAACTTGATTGGAAATAATTAAGGAGGAGATAATAATGATTAACTTAAAAGAGGAGATGATTCATAATAGAACAGAATGGAAGAATAGATTTCATGTAGCATACTCCAAACATTTAGGATAAAGACTTTGTTGTTGCTGTCTGGAGAACAAGGATCATAAGCTACAGACGTGATGATTTATTAACTGGCATCCAGCCGAACCAAGGGCCCATCACTTCTTATAGAGCACAAAAGATCCAAGACGTAAAGCATTCTCAACCTGACCGTAACCCGTAATTACCGTTTACTATTGCCTTCACAGGTGACCACTGCTTATAAATCAATGTTAGAAGACTAATTCATAAACACAATATCAAAATTAAACCTGTATGCAAAACAAATTCACAGTAAACTCATAAAATGTATACTTTTTTTTATTGAGCCAGAGTCGAACCCAAACCCCCCACGAGGGAGCAACACGGGCAACACGGCTTTGTCATGTGACCTACTGGGCCGCCTTCATAGGATGTATACTTAAACACTAGGTACATTGTTCATTCATACAGAAATATTAACAATAATCTCGTGAATACTCGTGCACATTAGTATCAAGTCAAGTACATACATAATACTGATACAGCTTCCAAAAAAAAGAGCTGATGCATATATTGGTCAATTGATTTAAGTTAATCATACATATCATAATCCACCAACGGACTAAGGATGTAACCAGTGATGTATTATTGTAAAATATGACGGAGAACAGGTATAATAAGCTACAGCTGATGATTCACTCAACTCGCATTCAAGCTGAACTAAGGCAAACATCACTTGCCAAATCATAAAAAGATTCAAGACAGCAGAAAATCCTAATCCCTAACACAAACTCTGTAGTTACCACTGTTTTCACAAGAAACTAAATGCTGTACAAAGGTAGAGGTGTACAGAGAGAATTACAGCAAAACTACTTCCTTCCGAACCTCTCAAGGTGCTTCTCGTGCTTCGCTGCAGCTGCTTTATCTGCAGCTTCACGCTTCAGCGCTCTCTTTGCTCGACGTCCTACTCCTATAGACTCCTTTTCCTTTGGAGATGCCTCTTTCTTCTTTGGGCATCGAGATGAACTAGCATCAGACTCACTACCAAATGCCTGTTGACGATTCACGGGGCGTGCCTCTTTCCTCCCAGCCCTCACATAACCGTTATCGCCCCACCGTCTGTTACCAATTCTAATGGTTGGTGAATTATAAAAACCCCCATCAAGGTCATCATCATCGACCTCACCCTCATAATCGTACTGGTAGAAGTCATCAGGTTCGTCTGCTATATCGTTATGGGCTTCTACTGCTAGAGGAATGAACCAAGTAGCCCTTAGGAGGAGGCAAACACTCTCCTCGAACATGTAGTCATGAATGCTGGTATTGATGAGTATCAGAAATATCAGCCATACAAACAGATCAATGAGCACAGGAATTGTCAGAAGTAGGAGTTGTTAGATTACCAGCCATCAAGTGAACGATGGACGTTCAGGAAGTTGAATGGATGCTTGCACTGAGGGCAAGAAGGATTGTGCTTGTATGTTGCCCATCTTAGGATGCATGTCACACTGCGTAATACAGAATGCAGGACCAAGGTAAGCATAATGCGATAGGTATTTGATAGATAAATTTTTTGTATACAGATCATAATGCTTAAGGAGTAATATAAGTACATCACATGCCATAGATAACTAGCTCTTTCTTGAACTTCTCTCCAACTTTTTTCTTAAACCACGAACAAAATTAATACTCACCAATTGTCATATTTGAACGCCTCAACTTCTTCCATAATTTATCAAATGTTAAATAAAGAAACTAACATATCATTTTGCATTTTCTTTAATTTTCATAAAAATCGGAAAGACATAGAACCTTTACTTTATTTCATTCTCTCCAAATTCCATATTGTTGCACCTTTAAATTCTTGATGATGTGTGGGTAAACTTGCCAAATAAACTCCAGTTAACTGGTCTGCCACACCCTTGGCTCCAACTAAGTAGCAAAGATGATCATTTTCAACTATTTACCCTAATATCTTACTCTGCTTGTTCTAACTCCTCATCTGTTAACTTGTACATGAAATCATAATTTTGTTTAAAGACATTTAATGTAAACACATAGTTGATTGTTAAGGTTATTAAGAATTTAGTTTTGAAATTTTAATTTAATATTAAATCTACTATTAAGGTTCCCAATTCATCCATAATAACATGCAGGCCAGGTATGGACATGAAATTCCCAAATAACAACAACAAAGCCTTTTCCCAAAATTTAGGGGTGGGCTACATAAATCTTATCCTTCCATTCATTTCTATAATGGACATGAAAATTGCAAAATTTAACACAATTCAGGTTATGAATAGACAGAGCTTTTGAACAAGGTGGACATGTATATGCCTCAAACAAGGTTGCTGATAGCGGATCGCGGCGCGTCGCGGCGAGGTACCGCTAAGGCTATTGCGCGCTATTGCGGCGAAATAGCGGCAAATAGAGCACGGTCAAATAGCGGTCAAATATACATATATTTAAATATTCTAAATAATAAGAAAAATCATATAAAAATCTAAAAATTCTATAAATGCATACTTGATGCCTAACATGAAATAGATGTGTAATAATTACATAATATTAACAAAGTACTATAATTATAAAGATTAAAGAATTATATTTAAATATTCTAAATAATAAGAAAAATCATATAAAAATCTAAAAATTCTATAAATGCATACTTGATGCCTAACATGAAATAGATGTGTAATAATTACATAATATTAACTAAGTACTATAATTATAAAGATTAAAGAATGAAAAAACATACCTGTTTAATAAAAATACCGTTATCAACTCATCACAAATGCCAGCCAACTCATCACAACTCAGCTCTGCCTCTCCCCCAATAGTAGTACTCACGAGTCACGACATTCATTCTCCCAAATCCTAATTAAATAACAAAAACTTTTCTTCCTCCACCTTTTGAAAACAAACTCTATATATAAACTAAACAAATACCCAATACCAGTACTCTGCCTCCTCTCTCCAATCCATTTCAAACCCACCCGACCCTAGGGCTAGGCTCTCTCCTCTGGCCTTTGTCTTTGAGACAGTGGAAAAGAAAAGAAAAAAAATAAAGATTTACAGCACTAACCGGCTAAAGCAGCGGCTGAGCTGCCTCTTTCGGCTCCGACCCTCCTCCGAACCTCATGCGGTTCCACCACATCCGCCAACGACAACATCTTCACCTCCTCCGCCGCCGACACCTCCAGCCGTCGCAGCCTTCGACCACTCCCTCTCATACTCCTCCTCCTCCTTCCGCTTCCTCTCCCTCGACTGCGCCTCAGCTTGCCGACCCACCAAAGCTTCAGACCCCATCGACGTCGACCGGAGGGGGCATCGACCGGAGGCGGCGTCGACTGGAGGCAGCGCTGGAAGAAGTCAATCAAAGTCGAAGGAGTCGCAGGCGGGTAGGGCACAGAACTAAATCGGGACGGGATTTGGGAAGAGATGGGTTTTTGTTTATTTAGTTCGGGTCGGATTCGGGTCGGGTTCGGGGAAGATTTAAGATATCATGTAGCGGGTTTAGCGCTTTTAAGCGCCGCTATTACGCGCGTTTCGAGTGCTTAGCGGTTTTCTCCGCCAAATCTTGCCGCCATCCCCTTAAGCGTCGCGGTGTAGCACCGCGACTGCAATTAGCGCCGCGATAGCGGCGCTATTTGCCGCTTTTTACAACCTTGGCCTCAAACAACATCTAGAGCGCCCGATTTGGACCCCTACATAGAATTTCAATTGCTTTCCATTAATGCAAATCAATTTTTGAGATCATAAGGACTAGTTTTATTTAGAACTGTCACAGGTTTCATCGGTTTGTCTCTGTCAAACACACACACCGACACATCTCCTTCACTTCCATTAGCACCTAGTCAACCTCAAACCAATATCATCAATACATATATACAAATAGGCATCACAGAAACTAAAAGTCCAAATACCAAACAACTAAATACAGTCAAAAAAACCAAACTAAACAAGAATCCATCGTACTTCCAAGAGCCCATTTGCACCAATCCATGATCCTAACCCAGAATCACAAACTAACCCTATACCTCAGACTACCCTTTCATCACACTATCATTCCAAAAAAACAAGAACATTTAACCAAATCTCACATCTATGAATCCACAATGAACACATAGATGGACAGGAATTCATTTATTTATAACCCCTATATATCATAAGCTTCTTTAAGCAACTAATCACTAACCCAGTATGCTCAGTACATATATACAAACAGGCATCATAACTACACACTATAAATTTGAATAGAAACAACTAAATATGATCAAATAAACTAAACTATACATGCAGCATTCTACTTCCGATAACACATTTGCATGAAACCACGATCATAATCTAGACCCGAAACTACCTAAACCTCAAACCTTCAAGTTAATCAACATCCTTTTCTCCGCATCATAACTAGACACTGAAATTTGCATTTTGCAAACAACACTAAACACCATAAAACCAACGACCCATACATGCATTAATATTACTTCCAAGAACCCATTTGCAGCAATCCATGATCATAATCTAGACCACCCAGCTTAACCAAGCACTCAAATCACCTCCAAATTATCAACACCCCTTTCCTCACCCCAAAACAAGAACACATAACCAACCCTAACATCTGTGAATCCACAATAAACACGATAAAAAAAAACAACGCAAAATAAATGAAGTAAGTCGTAGAACAAACCAGTAAGCGTGCTCGCAACCTTTCACAAGGGCAGCCTCGTGAATCAAGATCCTCTCCAAGCAAATTGCACAGGCACCGTACGCCTCAGCCGTCCCCTCACCATTCTCCTGTCCAAGAAGAAAACCCCAAAAATCACAAAAGATCCCAAAATCAATGAAACCCTAGAAATCAGGCAGACCCTAAAGAAATCGCATAGATCAAATCAAGATCAAGGATCGCTTACCTCAATTGGGGCGATCGCCGGCGAGGGCTCCATCAGGGCTCGCGCTTAGTTTGTGCAGGGCGGGAGGAGAGAGAAAGAGAGGGAGAGGAGAGAGAGAGAGAGAATAAATCACAGTTTCCTCTCGACCGTCAACGAGAGGATCGAGAGAGAAGATAAAGAAGAAAATTGGGGGAAATTGTAAGAGTGAAAATGGAATAAAAAAGATGCGATCTTTAATTATTCGGGAATAAAATAAGAATAAAGGTAGACGGAGATTGCGTTATGTGCGCGTATTTATAAACCCACTCTCCTTTTGTATATCTGACCTCCCTTTCTCTCAGTGAATGGGATTAAAATAGAAGAGTATATTATCAAAGAAAGGGGAGTGTATTTATAATATATATAGTTATTAGCTTATCATACGTTTTCTTTCTCGATTTGTCTATGATTTTGAGAAATGAGTTCGAAAATGAAGGGCTATTTAGATATCAGTCCCTCAAATCTTTAATAATTTCATATTATTACCTCAAATCTCAATAATTGCTCCTTAGTCCCTCAAATCCTAAGGGTTCTTGCAAGTTGGTCCCTTAACAATCAAAATACCCCTTTTTGATGATATTTCTTTTAAACTATCTTGTTCAAAGAAAGGGATAATTATACTTTTGGTACTATGAAATTACACTTTTTTTACTTTAATACCTCAAAGTTTCTTGACACATTGATTCCTTTTTTAACTTTGATACTTTAAAGTTTGTTTCTAATATTTTTTAACGATAAGGTTTATAACTTTTTAACTTTGATACTGCAAAGTTTTGTTTTTGGCACATTGATATCCCAAACTTTTTAACTTTGATACTGCAAAGTCTTGTTTTTGGAACTTCGATATCCTAAACTTCAATGTATCAAAGTTAAAAAAATGTGTAAACTTTAAGGTATCAAAGTTAAAATTTGTATGACTTATAGGGTATGAAAGTTTAATTAATAGGGTATGGAAGTTTAAATTTGTGGGACTTATAGAGTATGAAAGATTAATTAATAGGGTATGAAAGTTTAGATTAATAGTGTATGAAAGTTAAAATTTGTGGGACTTATAGGGTATGAAAATTAAACTTTAGGGTATAAAAGTGTCAAAAAAGATTTTGAGGTAGCAAAGTCAAAGGATGTGTAAACCTTGGAGTACAAAAGTGTCAAAAAACTTTAGGATAATAACGTTAAAAAATGTTAAACTTTAGAGTGCCAATTTGCAAACCCTTCAAAAAAAACATTATTTGAAGGTATTTTAGTCATTGAGTGACCAAATTGCAATAACCCTAGGATTTGAGGGACTAATTAACAATTTTATATATTTGAGTAACTGATATGGAATTATTGATAATTTCAGGGGCTATATCAAAATAATCCAAAAAGGAAACGTAAAAGGAAACTACTTGATTAATTCCAAGTCTCTAGCCTCTTTGTTCTTTCCTTTTCTTTTTCTTTTTCTTTTTTTTTTCCTTTTTACTTATTTTCCTTAAAAGTTAGAAACATTAGGGGGTGTTTGGTTGGCTATTTTTATAGAAAAGTTTATAGAAAATACCTGACAATGACATTTCTATAAATAAAAAATTTCTATAGATTTCTATAAACTGTGTTTGGTTCAAAAGAAATTTACAGAAAAGTTTTCTATAAAAATAGCAAGTCTCTAGCCTCTTTGTTCTTTCCTTTTCTTTTTCTTTTTCTTTTTCTTTTTTTTTTTCTTTTTTACTTCTTTTCCTTAAAAGTTAGAAACATTAGGGGTGTTTTCTTTTTTACTTCTTTTTTTTCTATAAAAATAGCAAGTCTTTAGCTATTTTTATAGTCGGAGATGGTGGCGTTCGGGTCGGCTGATTTGGACTTGAGGGATCGCGAGAGGTAGGAGAGGGCATTGCCGGGGAGGATGCCCCGCATGCCGACGCCGTTGCCGCCGTCAAGGGAGAGGATGAAGACCTTCCCCCTCTGGATTTGATGGCATTAGCAGAAGGAAGATCGGCGGCGGAGGTTGCGGGAGAGGGTTTGGGGTTAGGTACGTTGTTTTTTTTTAATTGGGGTGGGGTTGGGTCTGTCGAGGGAGAGGATGAAGATCGATCACAGCCGTCTCTTTTGTTTTTTAATTGGGTGCGTTGTTTGAGCTGATACTCATCAAAATAATAAATATAATAATGAAATAATACCCGATTCCATAGGAGGCGTAGGAGCGGAATAATTATTAGAGCCGTTGAGTTAAAAATGAACCGTTGAGTTGAAAATTTTAGCCGTTGAGATATAAAAAATTGGCATAAACAGTAAAAAAATTCTATAAATTCTCAATTCACTACACAAATCATTCCACACAATTCTCTCATAAAAAAACTCTATATTTTCCTATCAAATTACAAATCTCATGGATCCCTCCCAAAACTTTTATTCGCAACTCCTTAACGGTGAATGATCGACCTTATGCCCGTCGTTCTATACAGACGTCATAGAAGAAGGTCACCCCATCGAGTTCTCGCAATCGTCAACACAACAAGTGCCATACTAAGAAACACCGAGTACAAAGAAGAAGAAGGCTTACACGTGGTCCGAAAATTGGACTGCCCACGAGGATAAGCTTATTGTGTCTGCTTGGCTGAACACGAGCCAAGACGCCATCCAAGGTACGGGGTAACACAAAGATAAGTTTTGGCACAAAGATAACGACTACTTTATCCAATACTCCACCAATCCAACGAGCCGCACACCAAACCACATGATGCATCGTTGGTCAACGATTCAACTGTCCGTTAACAAGTTCTGCAGGTGCGTTGCTCAGATTGAAGGAAGACAAAGATCTGGTATAAGAATTATTGACCATGTAAATATTAAACTTATATGTTTTTATGTGAACAACATAGCAATGAAGAGAGGAATATATATGATTAATTATGTTTGATTATTCTAAATTTAACTCTTGTGTAGACTACAGAAGTAAAAGAATTATACCAATCTCTTTATGGTAAACCATTCGTGTTTGACCATTGCTGGGTTGAGTTGCGTCATCATCAAAAGTGGATCTAACAAATGGAAACTTACAATAAGATTCGATCACAGCCAAGAAGAACTACAAACTCTGATTCCTCACCAAACAATTCTATACCAGCGACCCCCATCGAGTTGAACACTAACTCAGATGATGTTATAACAAGGTCTGAAGGGAGGAAAGAGGCAAAGCTCAAGAGGAAACAAAATGTGAAAAACTCTGAGTCCGCTAAGTCCATCATGGGAGAGGCTTTCGCATGGATAAAGCAAACCACCAATCAAAAAATGGAGCTAAAACAGAAGAAACAAGATGACGATATCATGAAGATGGATCTCTCAACACTCAATTCAGTTCAATGACAATACTTTGAAATGCGTCAGGCAGAGATATTGGAGAGGTGGATGTGTAAGGGTTCTTCCTAATTATCATATATTATCTTGTATTAGATTTATGATTGTACTCGCATCGCATCCTAATTAGTTCTTCCTAATTATCTTGTATTAGATTTATTATTCTACTTGAAGTTGAAAATTTTGGCATTTAATGAAAACAACTACTTTATTAAAAATGAAATTGGCGTAGTACAACAACTCGAACTTTTTTGCTGAAATTACATTAGACATAAATAAACTTAATCCTCGGCGAGGATCCCTTGAGCTGCCACAGATGCTCGATCAAATCATTCTTTAGTGATTTGTGTGTTTGCGTGTTTCTGATCCGATGATGATTTTGGATGAACTCAGTTAGAGGCATCGTTCGCACATGAGAAGGTTCAATGACTGGTATCGAATCATTAAAGTCGAAGTTGTTGGCCAATTGACGATCTCGTTCATCTTCAACGATCATGTTATGCATTATGATGCAAGCTGTCATGATGTCTTTCAGCACACTATTATGCATTATGATGCAAGCTGTCATGATGTCTTTCAGCACACTAGGTTGCCAGAAACGTCCTGGTCCACGAACAATCGCAAATCAAGCTGTCATGATGTCTTTCAGCACACTAGGTTGCCAGAAACGTCCTGGTCCACGAACAATCGCAAATCAAGCTTGCAACACGCCAAAAGCTCGCTCAACATCTTTTTTTGCGCTCTCTTATTGTTGAGCAAAGTACTTATGCTTGTTTTCTCACGGTGCTAATGTGGACCACTCTGGGTAAATCCCGTCCGCAAGATAGTATCTCATATTGTACTCGTGGCCATTAATAGTATAGCTGCACGGTGAAGCTCTTCCCTCCGCAAGTTGTGCGAAAACCAGTGAACGATGTAGAACTGTAAAACCCCGAAATTTTATAATGAAAGGATGTGATTAATAGTAATAAATCTTTCTTTGGTGATAAATAACCATACATATATATGATGTATATATTTTACCAGGGTTTGGGAACCCAACATGTGTTTATATATGAGAGATATCGAGTGATATAAGTCCAGCAGGTGAAATGCATGCAAAAGGCATTTTTGTGCTGAGCGATCGACCGACGCGGTCGACCGTGGCGGTCGACCGGTACGGTCGACCGATCAGCGATCAGAGAGTTATCCAGGTTGTTTTCAAACGTAAAACCCTAGCCCCTTTTTCTCTCCCCTCTCAAAACCCTAGCCGTCACTGGTGATCTTTGAGGAGTTTGGAGGAGTTCCAGGGGATTTCAGCAGATTGGATCTCAAGAGAATCATCTCCAGAACGTTCGTCATCACCCAAGGCGAGTATCATCTCGCCAAATCCCTCACCCCTGTTTTCCATGATCTTTATTTTGGATTTTATGAGTTTTGGATGAGCCAAAATAGTATTTTTGTTAAGAAACGAATTAGCTATGGTATAATAGTATGAATCAGAGGTTTTTGTTTATAAAAACTCACCCAATACCTGTTTGATGACGATCTAGATCTGAAATTTTGCCTAAACAAGAACTAAATCATTTTTACTGTCATTTAAACGATTTGGAAATTGTTTCTCATGTTTTTATAATATTGGAAGGATAGATTTCAAGCCTGAGAGTTGTTGTTTATGTTCAGTATGATTTTTAACCTTAGAACTCTTGTTATCGTAGAGATTTGCAAAATTTTCGTTTCAGGTTTCGAGCTGACAGAAACCCAGATTTGGGTTTCTGTCCGCTCGGCGGTCGACCGACGCGGTCGACCGCTGAGCTCGTTTTGAGTTTTCGGTCGACCGCCCGTTATTTCGGTCGATCGCGTCGTCATTTCGGTCGACCGCCGATTATTTCGGTCGACCGTGACATTATTTCGGCCGACCGCCAGGCTCGTATCAGAGATCGGTCGACCGACTCGGTCGACCGACGCTCTGTCTGTGGTATTTTCCTGGTTTTGGGTATTTTTGTACATTTCATTCATGTTTGGGAGTCTGTCTGGACTATCTGACATTGGTATTTAGTCCTACTATGTACCCAGGCATGATGGATGACCTGAGGGTACCAATTGTGAATATATACACTGATATGATTATGAAGTGATGTAATTTAGATTTCACTATATATCACCGCGACATGTTTCACAGTTTCACAGTCCTCGTGTTGGACTATAATCCATGGAAGTCCTCGTGATGGACTATAAATTCATTCCAGTCCTCGTGTTGGACATTTGACACTTATTCTATGAGTTGGAAACTACGATGTAGATAGTTTTCCTGATTTGGACAAGGTCCTTAACCCTGCACATGACCTCTTCACAGAATTTCACGACATGATGTTGACATGACACTTATGTAAGTAATAACATGATATTCATGTTAGCTATGGTATGGCACTGTATATTGTTCTGAGAATAGCTGTATTTCTTTTATTATTGTTTCTGTACTAGAACCTCGGGTTTGGTGTTTAGAGATTTACAATTTGAGATACAAGGTATATACATGAGGGTTTCCTTGTTTGGATTATTTCGCTCGACGTACCTATGCTCGTGTTGTAAATTTCTAAATACTAAAACCATCTTTAGTAGGATTAATGATTCTAGATCTAATATATATTATCTGTATTTTCTTATATACAACGAGCCCTGTTCCCTTGGGGTTGGTTGTGATGTTACTCGCTAGCGCTTTGACGCTCGTTGTCCCTCCCCCTTTCAGGTCACGAGCCAGGAGCACGAAGAGCCGCAGGTTGATAGCGGACCACATTAGTGTCCAGCTTTGCTTTCTAGTTATGTATTATTTTTCTTTGGGCTCCACTGTAGTGAGGTTAAACATTTGAGGGTATTATTCTAGAAGTTGTAAAGGCTGTGAGCCTTATATCCTTATCGTCAGATGTTTGTATTTGAGACTTGTTGAGTATTTCAGTTTATCTACTCAGATCTTGACTATGTATTTCTGTATGGTTGGATGATTAGATATTTAAGTGACTATTATTATTTCATCAGTATTCCTTACATTACCTCTCACCTGTTTTGTACCTACACCAGTTGTTGATTCTACTAGATAGATGTTAATTGTGATGGTGAAACATGTTATTGCACGGTGTGGTGCATAGCAGGTTTGACATTCTTGGTTTCACCTTGGACTGCAGCCTTGTGTGAACCCAGGGGCATCACAGTTTTTTGGTCATTTCTATTGGGCTTTTGGCTGAGGTTTTGAGAGGCTATAAATACCCCATTGATCTAAGTTCTCATGGCTATCCAAGAAGTTTTTTTTAAACAAGTGTTTCATGTATAGAGTCCGTAAGGATTTCCTAGTATGAGTGAGGACGATATATGCGTATATCTCATAATTTGAGAATTTTTTTTTATGACAACTATTTTTGTATAAGTTTAAAGTATTTGTGCAAATACTATATGTTGTGAAGAATGTATTGTGATACGCTACTTATAGAAGTTTATTTTGACTCATAAACTCTTATTTTCTTATGATCAGAGAGATGGCAGGACGAGGTAGACCCTTTTTTTTTGACAACTATTTTTGTATAAGTTTAAAGTATTTGTGCAAATACTATATGTTGTGAAGAATGTATTGTGATACGCTACTTATAGAAGTTTATTTTGACTCATAAACTCTTATTTTCTTATGATCAGAGAGATGGCAGGACGAGGTAGACCCCGTACCAGGAGGGCTAGCCAGGCAGAGTCTCATCAGCCAGCTCAGTCCGAGCCCCAGCAGACTCCACCCGAGCCGCAGCAGGCTCCTCAGTATTTGGTGGACATCATGGCTCCTCTTATCGCTCGGATGACAGCTATTGAGGAGTTGGTGACGACTCATATAGCACCACCGACACCGCCACCTCCACCGCCGGTAGCTCAGCAGCAGGGGATACCTGCCGTCCCTGTCAGAGAGAGACCTCCAGAGGTCGCGCCTGCAGCCATTCCTCTAGCAGTCCCAGATAGGACCACAGAGCAGGAGGCTTGGCTCCGTATAGTGGAGAGGTATCAGAAGATGAGGGCACCAGAGTTCCAGGGGTCACCAGACCCTCTTGCAGCCCATAAGTGGAAGGAGGACGTGGGCAACATTCTCGATATACTCGGTGTAGATTCAGTCCAGAAGCAGAGACTGGCATCCTACACCCTGAAGGATGCCAGGAGGTGGTACCGACTCCAGTTCACTCCAGAGCAGAGGCTGACCCTCACGTGGGAGGACTTTATATATTTCTTCGATGGACATTACATTTCTTCCGCAGCACGGACTGGGAAGGAGCTTGAGTTGTCCCGATTGACTCAGGGGGATATGTCAGTGGCTGATTTTGAGAGTCGGTTCATGGAGCTGTTACATTTCACAGGCATGTGACAGACAGGAGAACGTCAGGCTCAGATGTTCTTGGCTGGGCTTCGCCCTAATCTCCGACGGTACCTCGTG